GTCTGCAACGCTTGGGCCCACAGGGACTTGAACTCCTGACCAGGTCTGCACGGTCTGCATCAGATTCCCCCTTATTTATTATTTGTTTAAGGGACGCTGCCTGTCTTAGGCAGTCAGTGTGAATTCCTCCCTCTTACCTGTCATCGAAACTCATTGCAGCATGGCAATACTTTAAACATTTTTATTGTAAAGATTTACAGCCTCGGAAATCCTGTTCAGGATCGCTATGGGTCAGAACCGACTTGGCGGCACTTAAAAACAACAACAACAACATACTTGTCTCCTAACATGAAGGTCACAGGGAACTAGACATAAAAAATAATTTTGCTAATTTAAACCTTTGGAAACACAAATTCTGAATTTGCTACACTTAAGAAATGGATACTTAGAAATAATTGTTTTTTCTGGATGTTATACCTAAATGGTACTGGTACTACTAAATATGAAAACAACAACCCCACAAGATTCCAATGAAACAGAAATAAGAACACAGTACATCATAGCGTAGTGGTTACGAATTGGGCTGTGAACCTCAAAGTCAGCAGCTCGAAACTACCGAGGAAGAAAAATGAGGCAACCTCAGAAACCCTGTACAGTGTCTCTATGAGTCAGAACCGACTCCATGGCATACAACCAACCAACCAACCAAACATCATATACAGTATAAATTAACAATAAATAAACCCTCAGTTAACAAACTAAGAAATGTCTAATTCAGTAGCAAACCAATGAAAGGAAATGGTAATCCTGTGTGGGGAAGGGTTCGTTTAGGGAAGGCTTTGGTACCTGAATGCTAATGACTCCAATATTGCTCTTACGAGATGGTCTTTACTGGTGGAAGGCTTCAAACCCATAAAAGAGGCACACGCACAGGGGTCATTCATTGGAGCCTAAAGTAAGAGATAACAAGAATACAATCTTATTGTGATTATATACCTTGTGATAGTTAAGGTTTTCTGTTAACTTGGGTGGGCGAGGATTCTCATGCTTTAGAGTTAATATGTAGTTATCACCTCCATGATGAGATCTAATATAATACAATGACCCCATGATATAAGCTGATGTAATTATCCAATGTGTTGTGAATCTGCACCTCTATGCTGTCAGTAGGAAGCCCATAGAAGAACTGAAGGAAGACCATAGATGAATTGATTGCATGTGAGGTATGGTGTTAGAGGAGAACATTAAAAGTCTTAAAGACTGCCAAGAGAACAAATCTGTATTAGAAGAAGTACAACTAGAATACACCTTGGAAGCTAGGATGGCTAGACTTCGTTTCTCATACTTTGGGCATATTATCAAGAGGGACCAGTCCCTGGAGAAAGATATCATGTTTTTGTAAGGTGGAGGGTCGGAGAAAAAGAGGAAGACCCCCAAGGAGATGGATTGGCACACTGGCAGCAGTAATGAGTTCAAGCGTAGCAACCATTGAGCGGTTGGCATAGGATTGGTCAGTGTTTCGTTCTGTTGTGCATAAGGTCGCTGAGTCACTATCAACTCAGTAGCACCTAACAACAATGATGTTAATAAGAGTGGGTGCAATCTACAGGGTTGGGTTGTGTCTTGAGCCAATATCCTTTGAGACATAAAGGTGAGAGACTTCAGCAGAAAAGGAGGGACCTACTACCAAGAAAGAAGGGCTGGAAGTGGTGTTTGTCCTTTGGACCTGGGGTCTCTGCACTATAAAGCTCCTAGATTCAAAGAAAGACTTATGCTAAGACACATGGAGATCTCCAAGGAATGCTGGGCCTACAGATGTTGAAAGGAGGCTAGGACTTTTCCCCTGAGCTGATACTGTGAATTTGGACTTCTATCCTTTGAGACAGAGAGAGAATAAATTTCTGTTTTTTAAAACCATCCACTTCTGGTATTTCTGTTTTAACAGTATTAGATGCTTAAGACATGTATATATATAGAGAGAGAGAGAGAGCCCTGGTGTGGTGCTATAGATTAATGCGCTGGACTGCAAAGTAGGTTTGAACCGTAAGGTTGGCGGTTCAAGTTCACCAGCTACTCCTTGGAAACGCCAACAAAGGGTCGTTATGGGTCAGAACTGACTCGATGCCACTTAATAACAACAGCATATATACACATATACATATATACTGTTGTTGTTAAGTGCTGTCGAGTCGGTTCAGAGTATGTATAGGGTTTCCAAGGAGCGGCTGGTAGATTTGAACCACCAATCTTGTGGTTAGCAGTACAGTGTTTATCCTACAGAGCCACATCAGGACTCTCTCTCTCTCTCTGTCTCTCTCTGTCTCTCTCTGTCTCTCTCTCTCTCTATATATATATATATATAGTCATTGTTAAGGGCTGTCAAGTCGGTTCCAACTCATAGCAATCCTGTATAGGATTTCCAAGGAGCAGCTGGTGGGTTTGAACTGCCAACCTTGTGGTTCAAACTCCAGGGCTGATCCTATAGCACGACACCAGGAGTGTGTGTGTGTGTGTGTGTAGATATATATATTTATATTATATATATGTATGTGTGTGTATATATATGTATATATGTGATTGGTGGTGGTTATGTGTCCTGTACAGGGTTTCTGAGGCTGTAAATCTTTACAGGATCAGAAAGCTTCATCTTTCTCCCGTGGTAGTTTCGAACTGCTGACTTTAAGGTTCGCAGCCTGATTCATAACCACTACGCTACCAGAGCTTCTTAATGTAGGTATGTAGTTGTGAGAAATATTATAATAAAATTGTAGCCATTTAGAATAGAGTAATTTATATTTGAAAGTTAAATAATGTAATAATAAATTATAACCCCAGGATTATGTTAAATGTTATGACAGCTTTTAAACAAGTCCTAAGCAAGGATATCCTGGTTTGGCACTATAGGATAAGCACTGGACAGCTAACCACATGGTTGGCGGTTCAAATACAACAGCTTCTTCTGTTGTTAGTTGTCAGGTACCATCAAGTCAATTCTGACTCACAGAGACCCTTAGCACAACAGGATGAAACATTGCCCAGTTCTGCAGCACCCTCACAATTGCTGGTACACTTGAGTCCACTGCTGCGGTGACCATGCCAATCCATCTCCTTGGGGGGGTCTTCTTCTATTTTGCTGACCCTTCACTTTACCAAGCATGATATCCTTGAGAGACCAAGTCTAGCCATGCTGGCTTCCAAAGAGCATTTTGGCTGTTCTTCTTTCAACACAGACTTGTTTTTCCTTTTGGCAGTCCTTCAACACCATAACTCAAAGGCATCAATTATTCTATGGTATTTGTTGTTCACTGTCTAATTTTCACACGAATATAAGGCTATTGAAAAGACCATGGCTTGGGTAGGCACACCTTAGTCCTCAAACTTCTAGCTCTGCTCTTGAACACTTTAAAGAGGTCTTGTGCAGTAGATTTGTTTAATGTAATGTGTCATTTTATTTCTTGACTGCTGCTTCCATGAGTTGTAGTTGTTATTGTTGTTGTTAAGTGCCGTCAAGTCGGTTCCAACCCATAGTGACCCTGTATAGGATTTCCAAGGAGCAACTGATAGATTTGAACCATAAAACTTGCAGTTAACAGTTCAGTGCTTATCCTATAACGCCATACCAAGACATTGATTGTAGAATCAAGAAAAATGAAGTCTTTGACAACTTCAGTCTTTTCTCCATTTATCATGATGTTATTCATTGGCCCAGTGGTAAGGATTTTTGTTCTCTTTACATTGAGGTACAATTCATATTGTACTTCATCAGTAAGTATTTTAATTCCTCTTTGCTTCCAGCAAGCAAGGTTGTAACATCTGTATGTCACAGGTTGTTAATAAGTCCTTCTGCAATTTTAATGTCATGCTCTTCTTCATATAACGTAGTTTCAGGGATAATTTGCTCAATGTTTTAAATAAGTATGGTGAAAGAATACAACCCTGGTGCACACCTTTCCTGATTTTAAACCATTCAATATTCCCTTGTTCTGTTAGAATGACTACCTCTTGGTCTATGTACCTGTTCCTCATAAGCACAATCAAATGTTCTGGAATACCGATTCTTCACAATGTTACCCATAGCTTGTCAAGATACAGACAGTCAAAAGCCTTTGCAGTCAATAAAGCACAAGTAAACATCTTTCTGGTATTCTCAGCTTTCAGCCAAGATCCATCTGACTTCAACAACGATATCCCTAGTTCCACATCCTCTTTTGAATCCAGCTTCATTTTCTGGCAATTCCTTGTTGGTATACTATTATAGCTGATTTTGAATTATCTTCTGCAAAATTTTGCTTGCATGTGATAGAAATGATACTGTTCAATGGTTTCCACATTCCATAGGGTCACCTCTCTTGGGAATGTCTCCTAGGAAATCTTGAACAGGGTTGTTATGAGTGGAACCGACTTGATAGCCCTTAACAACAACAACAAATCAAGGGTGAGTCAAAGATGTTGGACTTAGCTGTATCTTCTATTTGAACTTATACCTAGAAAAACTTATACCTATGTTGTTGTTGTTATGTGCCGTGGAGCTGGTTCCGACTCATAGCGACCCTGTACAGGGTTTCCAAGGCTGTAAATCTTTACGGGAGCAGAAAGCCTCATCTTTCTCCATGGAACCTCTGGTAGTTTCGAACTGCTTTCCTGAGGTTCACAGCCCGATTCTTAACCACTACGCTACCAGAGCTCCTGTGCATATACTTTAGGTGCCATAAAGTCAGTTCCAATATATAACAACACTATGTGCAACAGAACAAAATAATGCCACTCCTGCTCTATCCAGACAATAAGTGCTGTGTTTGGACCCATTGTTTAGCCAATGTCAATCCATATAAATGAGCTCTTCCTCTTTTTTGCTGACCCTCTATTTTACCAAGCGTGATGCCTGTCTCCAGAGGCTTGTCCCTCCTACTGTCATGTCCAAAGTACGTGATAACAAATCTCATCATCCTCGCTTCTAAAGAACATTCTGGCTGTATTTCATCTAATACATACTTGCTCATTCTTCTAACAGTCCAGGATATATTCAGTATTCTTCGCCAAGACCATTAACGCAAATGCATACATTCTTCCCAGTCATCCTTACACAGTGTCCAGTTTTTACAAGCATGTGAGGCTTGGGTCAAGTACCTCAGACTTCAAAGTGACATTTTGAAGAGGTCCTTTGCATCAGATTTATCCTATGCAATTCTTTGTTTGACTTCTTGACTCAATTTCTTGTGGATTCAAGTAAAATGAAATCCTTAACAGCTTCAAACTTGCTTTTGTTTATCATGATGTTGCCTGTTGATCCAGTTATGAGGATTTCTGTTTTCTTTTATTGTTTTTGTGCCATCAAGTTGCACATCAGAACAAAACACTACCCAGTCCTGTGCCATCCTCACAACAGTCATTATGTCTGACCCCATTTTTGTTGGCACCATGTCAATCCATCTACTTAGGGGTGCTTTCTCTTTTTGGCTGACCCTCCACTTTTCCAAGCATGATGTTCTTCTCTAGGAACTGGTCCCTCCTGACAACATGTCCAAAGTACAAGAGTGGGAATTTCACCATCCTTGCTTCTAAGGAGCATTCTGGCTGTGCCTCTGTCAAGACAGATTTGTTTGTGGTTCTGGTAGTACATAGCACTTCAATAATCTCCTTCAAGACCATAGTTCATATGCATCAATTCTTCTACAGTCTTCCTTATTCACTGTTGAACTGTCACATGCATATGAGGTGACAGAAAATATCATGGCTTGTGTCAGGCATACCTCAGTTTTCAAACTGACAAGTATGCTCTTGAACATTTCAATAAAGAGGTCTTGTCCAGTAAATTTGCATAATGCAATAATACATCATTGTATTTCCTGACTGCTGCTTCCGTACATGTTGATTGTGGATCCTAGCAAAATGAAGTCTTTGACAACTTCAATTTTTTTCTCCAATTATCATATTATTTGTTGGTCCAGTTGTGAGGATTTTTTTTCTTAGGTGCAAGCTACACTGAAGGCTACAGTCTTTGATCTTTATTCAATAAGTATTTTAAGTCCTTTTCACTTATAGCAAGCAAGGTTATGTCATTTGCATATCAAAGGTTGTTAATGAGTCTTCCTCCAATTCTGATGCCACGTTCTTCATATAATCCAGTTTCTAGGATTATTTGATTAGTACATAGACCGAATAAACTGAATTAATATGATGGAATAAATCCTTTCATCAAAGGTACACACTTTCCTGATTTTATACCATTCAGTATTTCCTCATTTTGTTCTAAAGAGTATCTCTTGGTCTATATACAGGTTTCTTGTGAGCACAATGAAGTGTTCTGGAATACCAATTCTTCAAAATGTTATCCAAAGTTTGTCATGATCCACACAATGAGATGCCTTTGCACAGTCAAAAAAGCACAAGTAAATTTCTTTCTGATATTCTCTGCTTTCAGCCAATATCCATCTGACATCAGTAACGATATTCCTAGTTACACATCCTCTTATGATTCTTGCTTGAATTGCTGACAGCTTCTTGTCAATGTATTGCTACAATCATTTAAATATTATCTTTAGCAAAATTTTACTTGCATGTGATATTAATGATGCTGTTCAATGATTTGGGTCATCTTTTTTTGGAATGGGTTCTTCCAATATAGATCTCCTCCAATCAGTTGGCCAGGTAGCTGTTTTCCAAATTTCTTGGCATTTATGAGTAAGTGCCTCCAGTGCTACATCAGTTTATTGATGTATTTCAATTAATATTCCATCAATTCCTGGAGCCTTGTTTTTTTTTGTCAATGCCTCAGTGAAGACTGGGTTCTTCCTTTAATACTGTTAGTTCTTGACCATACGGCACCTACTGAAATGATTGGACATCTACCAATTCTTTTTGCTACAGTTACTCTGTATATTCCCTCCATCTTCTTCTGATGCTTCTTGCAACATTCAATATTTGCCTAATAGAATCCTTCAATACTTAAAGTCAAGCCTTGAATGTTTTCTTCAGCTCTTCCAGCTTGAGCAATGTACATTTCATTATAATATCTCACTTTGTCTTCTTGAGCTACCCTTTGAAATTTTCTGTTCAGCTCTTTTACTTTATCATTTCTTCCAATCACTTTAACTTCTCTACCTTCAAAAGCAAGTTTCAGACTCTCTTCTGATATCCAGCTATTCTTGATATGGTCTCTAAATTCAGGTGGAATATAACCAAAGTCATATTTTGGCTCCTGTGGATTTGTTTTAATTTTCTTCAACTTCAGCCTGAAATTGGAAATGAGCAATTGATGGTCTGATCCAGTTAGCCCCTGGCCTTGTTCTGGCTGACGATATTAAGCTTTTCCATAGTCTCTTCCCATGTTGTTGTTATGTGTTGTTCAGTCAGTTGCAGCTCGTAGTGACCCTGGATAAGGTTTCCAAGGAACCGCTCATGGGTCTGAACAACCAATCTTGTGGTTAGCAGTCCAGAGCTTATCATATAGCACCACATCAGGATTGCATAGATATATTTTATTCCTGTGTATTCCACCATTTATGTTGTTGAAAAAAGGTTATGTTCAATGAATAAGCCATTGGTCTTACAAAATTCTTATGAGATCTCCAGCATTGTTTTTATCACCAAAACCATATTTTCCAATTGTGGATCCTTTCTTTTGCTTCCAACTTCCACATTCCAGTCACCAGTAATTATCAACACATCTTGATTGCTGAAGAAACTGGCCCCTCAGAAAACTCTACTAGAACCTGTGCATCATGGGTGACCGTGTTGGTTTGTTAAATACTGTTGGCGTAGCTTCTAGCATCACAGCAACACACAAGCCACCACAGTACAACGATTTGACAAACGAATTGCTTTCTTTATTTTGAGCTATAATCTATACTGAAAGTTGTAATGCTTTATATTCATCAGTAAGTGCTTCAAGTCTTCTTTACTTTCACCAAGCAAGGTTGTTGTTGTTGCAAAGTACCGTGGAGTCGGTTCCAACTCATAGTGACCCTGCACAGGGTTTCCAAGGTTGTAAATCTTTATGGGAGAAAAAACCCTCATCTTTCTCCTGTAGAACGGCTGGTAGTTTCAAACTGCCGACCTTAAGGTTAGCAGCCCAATTCATAACCACTACACTACCAGGCAGAGCTCCTTGGGCCATCTAAATATCATATGTTGTTAATGAGTCTTCCTTTAATCCTGATGCCATGTTCTTCTTCATCTCTCAGATTATTTGCTCAGCATCCAGGTTGGATAAATATGGTAGAAATATACAACCCTGAATGCACACACTTCCTGATTTTAATCAATGCAATAACCCCTCGTTCTGTTCAAACGATTGCGTCTTGGTCTATGTACAGGTTCCTCATGAACAAAATGAACAAAATTAAGTGTTTTGGAATTCCCATTCTTCACAATATTATCCATAGTTTCTTATGATTCATATTAGGATTGGAGGATGTCCCACTAACAACCTGTGATATGCATATGAAACAACCTTGCTTGCTGGAAGCAAAAAGAATTTGAAATACTTACCGATGAACTGTATGAATTGCAATTTAACATAGGCAAATCCTGCACAAGACCTCTTTAAACTGTTCAAGAGCAAAGATGACAGTCAGGACTAAGGTGTGCCTGACCCAAACCATTCACAAGCCTCATATGCATGTGAAAGTTGCATAATGAGCAAGGAAGACTGCAGAAGTTTCAATGCATTTGAGTTATGGTGCTAGAGGAGAAAATTGAAAGTAACATGGACTGCCAGAAGAACACAAAGCCTTTGTTGGAAAGAAGTAAAGTCAGAATACTCCTTAGAAGTAAAGATGGTGAGACTTCATCTCTCATACTTTGAACATGTTGTCAGGAGGGATCAGTTCCTAGAGAAGGACATCATGCTTGATAAAGTGTAGAGTCAACAAAAAAGAGGAAGACTCCCAAAGAGAAACAATGGGCTCACACGTAACAACTGGGAAGATGGTGCTGTTCTGGATCACGCTTCCTTCTGCTGCACACAGGGTTGCTATGAGTCAGAACCAGCTTGAGGGCAGCTAATAACAACAACACAACAATTTGATGTGTAAACCTTCACAGAAAACAGAATATTTCAATTAAAAAAGACCTAAGGCATGCCTGAAACAGTAAGTAGTCAAAGATTAGCTGCCACAATTATTATTATTCCTTACTAAAGACCCTTCCCACTATTAATGACTTTCTTCATAACTCTTTTACTATGCCTCTGGAACTCCTATTTCTCTTGTAAATAACTTTCCTAATTCTTAATGTCTTCCTAAAAGTTCCTTCAACCTGCTTTGTGGTTGCTGTAATAAATCTGGCTCTGTGTTGAGTAAATGCTTCAGTTGAACTATTCAGTGAAGACTGATCATGCTTCCACACCACAGGGACCAGAGGACATTGTCCTAACTTTCCATGGCCACCACTAGCTATTATGCATCTAGTGTCAGCAGATCCTCTCTTTCTCTCATGTTTGCACTCTATTGCTCTCTGCCTTCCCACAGTTCAGATGCTCCACTCACACGTCCAGATATAGAGATGGCAATCATTGTAATTGTCAGCTGCATCCCTTCTAAGGAAACTGCTTGACTCTGCAGGCTCTGCTATCGAAAGCAGCCTTGTTTCATGTGCTATTCCACTTCCACAGTCACAACCATATGAGGTGAGCACAATTACTCAAAGATGGCCCAATCAGATTCCCTTTCCTAGAAATCTGAACGAGAAAACAGGAAGGAAAAAGGTCCACCAATGGGGAACAGAAGCTAAAATGATGCCACAGATGGTGACCCCATGTATAATGGCACTGAACCAATGTAATCTATAGGATTTTCGTTGGCTGATTTTTTTGTAAATTGACAGCCAAGCCTTTCTCCCTAGTTCGGCTTAATCTAGAAGTGCTGCTGAATACTATTCATCATGAAAGCAACATGCAAACCCTCCACTGAAAGACAGGTGGAGGCTGTGCATGAAGTAAGCTGGCTGGAACTTGAATCCAGATCTCCCACGGGGAAGGCAAGAATCATACCACTGAACCACAAATGCCTCATGAAGACAACAAGGACAATTAAACCGGGCTGTTGCCACGTCAGTTACCAAGACCCTTCCAATCCCAATCTTTAGGAGCACGTGAAGAGCCACCTCCTCCCTGGGTAAGTGTAAGCAAGCCTGTTGGCTGCAAACCTAATAACTGTCATTGGAGTATGATTCTTCATCCTCTGAAGACTAGCACTTGGTTCACAGTACCATTTATCCTCTGACTGCTATCATTGCGATAGCCTTAACATCCAAGGAGATGACCACTGGTGCTTGCTTCTGGTACCTGGCATATCTACTCTACTTTAGTCTCCTGCTCCCCAAACCACAAGCCCTTCTAGAGCAAAACCACATAGCCCAGGCTACTCTCGCCATTCCATGACATGGCTGTCCTAGATCTTCCCCCACCTAAGCTCCTCCAATGTACATTCCTCAGCTGATATTCTTGAAAATTTGATGCTATTATGAGCCTTCAACAGCCAACCCCACTTAATCTAAGGCTGTCCTCCTTTAACCTGCCTTTCTTCTGTTTCTCCAATCCCATTTCTTTTAGTTGTGGACACAGACACCTTACAGGTGATCCTCAATTTTCCAAACACTCTCAGTCTCTTTACAATAGTGTTGTTTCAATTAACTTTTGATTTTAAGAGTTTCGTTTTGTCTCTGGGAGGCATTTACCTACGATTTTCTATTCTTCAATATTTTGTAAAGTTACAGCCATGACAACAGTGACATTTTGTTATCAAGATAACCTTCAAAATCACATCTGTGATAGATTTATCAAATATTTGAACGTCAGCAATACTTGGATCTTTTTCTTATTCAAATGTGCTAAATTACTTTTATACGCATATGGGTTGATAAAAAGTTAAAAATAGAGTTTCCAAGACAAAATTGCTATAAATGTTTTCTTTGCTGCTGTTGTTTCTGTTTTTACCTGCAATCCACTAAAAGATGGGACGAAACAAACTCCTTCAGCATCTTCTAAATTTTTGGCCATTTTTTCAGTCTCATTAGCATCTGTAAAAAGATCTGCAAAAAACAAGTAAATGAAACAAAGGAGTTGGAAAGCAGCAAACAGAATGTTACATGACTAGTATTTACTCATATCCACAGTTGTTATGAACATAATATCAATTATCTGTTCACTTAGGCCAAACTGAACACTCTCTAGGGCCTCACACTGCACAGGTCTACAAGTCCATGGAAGGAGCCAGGAAGTCATCTCAGGTAGACTTTCTATGCAGCAAACCTTATTGTTTTCCTAAATGTATGTTTCTTGGCCTAAAGCATTTTCCTGAAGATAAGAGCCATCTTAACTTACTAGTGAACAGATCAACTAAAAAATTATTCCATCTAATGAGTTCAGAAGGAGCCCTGGTGGCACAGTGGGTTAAGTGTTGGATGGTTCAAACACACCAGCTGCTCCTCTGGAGAAAGATGAGGCAGTCTGTCCCCAAAAAGATTTACAGTGTAAGAAACTCCATGGAGCAGTTCTACTCAGTCCTAGAGGATCACTAAGAGTAAAAATCAACCAGACAGCAGTAGGATAATTTGTTTGTTAAGTTTTGTTTTGTTTTTTTGGTTTGGTGATTGTGTACTGGTATTGTATTGCAGTTTCATTTTGCAGCTTCTTGCTGACTATTAAGTTGAACACATCTGTATTTTTCATTGGTCATATGAAATTCCCTTTTGTCCATTTTTCTACTTGTTTCACAGGAATTTTTCTTTCTGGCTACGAGTCCTATGCATCTTACTAATTTACATCTTGCCTTTTCACTCTCTTAGCAGGGTCTTTTTAAGAACAGAAGCACATAATTTCTTAGTAGTTTAATGTTTTCTTTATATTGAGTACATTTTGTGTTTTGTTTAAGAAGTCGCAGCTTACTACAAGTATTAACAAACAAGATGGCGGATTGGGTGGATGTGTAACCAAGAGCCCCGCCAACAATAACACAGAATACTCGACCAAGCAGGCTCAGGGGATGGTCCCAGAACTCTGAAACACATATAAAGGAATATTTAGAAGGTTGGAAGGCTTACAGCTGGGGGAATTTGTGGCAGAAGAAATTATTGCTTTCAAGTCTGGGACACTCAGCTGCTCCAGGAGCCGCCATCTTGGGTGAGACCAAGCAGGGAAAGGATACGAACGGCCACAGACGCCTGGCAGAACTGCTGAAATAAAGGTGTGGACATTCTTCTCTTTTGGTGGCTGTTCATTGGTCCCTTGCTGTCTGCGCACCTCCATTCGGGTGACTCTAGGGGTGTCTGAGCTGGTGGGCATGCCAGCCCCACCCTCGGAGGGTTATACTTCGCATGCACACAGATCTCCTCGAAATTTAAAGAGACAGTTTCCAATTAAAACTAAACGGCCACAGCTGACCTGAACTGTTTCCAACTAGAAAAAAGGCCTGAATGGGGATTGTGGAGTGGGAAAAGCAGGCAAAAGAGGAAATAGGCCGAATATTAAATCCTAAGTTACATCAAAAGACCAACAGTGGTATCTTGAAACTTCTCAGGAAGAAGAGTGAAAAGGGAAGCCCATTTCCTGATCACATCTATCTGGAGGCATTCAGAGAGCATAAAAAATACCAAAATACATACCCATCTAAGTATTAAATCCACAGATAACCCCTGAAGATGCCCAAAAAACACAAGCAGATGACCATATCTGCACATGTCCAGAAACGAGATAAACTGACTGAGGCAAATGAGCTGGAAGGAGA